TGGTGACATGGCAGCAGCGATGAGCTTCAGAATGACTGTGATTTGGAGAGATGTCAAGATCAGGTTGGTGAACACTTGTCTCGCGTACGAACGACGCCGCACACTCACTTTCACACTTGTGATCCGGCCAGTCGTGCAGGATCCAGCTGTACAGAACGCATGACGATGAGATGGCGTTGACTCTGTGCGTGACCACCTGCACGTGTCTTGACTTACCGCATCATGTAAGTGAATCCATCTCCCTTGTGAGGTTGAACGTCATTGAAAAAGTCGTAAACCTCGAACTTGACCCTGTTGGAGCTCAGAGCCTCCGGGAGCTTTTGTTCAAAATGCGTTTTGTAGGCTCCCTCCACCTCGCGGCGGTCTTGAATGACGGCTTTGAAGTGAGGGAAGGCTTGCAGCAGCGGCAAGGTCAGAGCTCCATGCCCACCTCCAACATCGACGAGAGTCGTGTCGCCAAGCGAATCCCAAGGGTAATCTGCAGCGGCAAGACAGATGAAGCTCAGACCGGTGAAAGCTGTCAAAAGGGAGTCGTGCTTGATTCGTAAAGTCTCACCTGCGATCCAGCCCGGATTGCCGGCATCTGCTCGAAAAGCGCATCATGCTTGGTGAGCGACTGATGCACTGCAGTAGGCAAAAGAGGTTCTGTGCTTACCTCCGAATGCACTCATCGCACGAGCTATCAGATGGAGCAGGGTGTGAGTCGGGTATCTACGAGAGGAACGACTGCAAACACTCACCGAACTCCGACATATCGGTGAGCTCTGCCATGCGAGCCCACATGTCCGTATGACCGCTTTCCCTAATCTGGTACGTCGTGCCCACCGCGGCGTCGAGCGGGTCGAAGGAGAGCCCTTTCTTGGGATCGAACAGATTGTCCGCAACTTGGGGCGCAGTCTGCAAGGAGAATTTGGTCTGGAGGGCGCGACGGGGCCGGTAAGATTAGACTCATGTTTTCGTCACATAGCATGCTCGCGAGCTTACCTGCCAGGACACAAAGTCGCGGACAGGATTACTGGTTACCAGCAGCGAGGACGCGCGGTTGTTGGCAAACACGCCCTCCGTGACTTCGTTAAACTGGACAAGAATGGAGCAACGCAATCAGATCAGCAATTTGGCCGTCATTCCGCGATCAAGCTCTTGTGCAACCACACGCACGATGTTCATGTTTGCCAAGAATCGCAGAATTTTGGCTGTCAAATATTTCACGGTCCTGCCTCAGTACTGCCAACAACCGCGTATCTCTGGAGGCCGAAAAGACTCACTCAGCTTGGCTGGCTGCAAGCCGACTGCCTTGGCCAAATCTGTCGCAGGCAGTCCTTGCGGACCTGCCGCTGCGAGCTGATCGGCTGCGTTGGCTCTGACCGCGACCTGCAGAGCGGCGCTGATGTGGTGCTGATGAGGACAGAGTGAAGCGTGAGAAGGGAACCTCTGGCACAGCTGCTCCAACACGACTTACAGCGAGAGACAATTCGGACAGCCGAGTAGCAGGCGACTGGACCGTGTTCTTCAGCGCTCCCAGAGCGGCCACCAGCACGTCTCTTGAATCCCAGAAATTCTTGGAAGCCAGGTAGGCCGGATTATCGGTCTCGTGCATTTGCATTCCATTGAGAGAAGGCTCCGAAAGCTTGCCTTCTTTGAGCGCAGACTCGTATCGATCCAAGGACGAGAGGACTTGCGCCTTCAAGGCTGCGTACTCGCTCAGCGACGACATGGTGCACTTTTCTGTGGCTTGTGGATGATCAAGGGAAGGTCCTTTGCTCGACAAGTCTGGGTATATGGTGGTGCGTGGGATCGTTAGTCAGGAGGATGACTTTGTCTAGACGAGCTGCTGCCTCATCGTACCTCGTGCCGACTTGCCAGCTTTTGTATGTCTATGTATCCCTCCTGATGATGCGGTGTGAGCATCATGCAGCGTTATCACCGCGATGCATAAAAGCGGCCCAAACGCCGTGGCTCAGTTGAAGCGTGAGTACCTACTTACTCATCGAATGTGAGACTCGTCATCAGACTGTAATCTCATTACACACACCTAGAGCTGGTCGGCCCGAATCAATGGGTGCCATCGCACGTTGGCTGTGAAGCCAGTACCGGTGAAGTGGTCGTGTGTGGGGCACACGTATCTGCAATGACAGACTCGCGACTCGTCGGTGTTTCGGCTCGTCATGCTTGGGGAGCAGCTGTTTGCAGGAGAGGACTTCGTCCAAAGAATGACCATTCGGCGTTTCGCGCGCGTCCATGAATGGACGGTCCGCATGTGGCTACACCAGAGTGCGCTTGTCTGCATGTGATTGACCGATGCTTCCTAGCAACCACTCGCAAGGTCTACCGTCGCGAGAAAGCCCGAGAAGATGTAGCTTGTAAGGTCACCGCAAAGCTGTGTTCACGCCTGATCATCACCGTCATCGACGCAGAAAAGGCCGATGGATGATACTAGCACGTGCGCAGCTACATCAAGGCTTGGACTCCTGGTCTGATGGCCAGTAGGAGAGCATAGGCAGTCTTTCAGCATACACCCTGACTGCCCATCGAAGGCAAGAGAGATACTCAAGCCTTGGCGCGACTGTAGATCCTAACCGCGTACCCTGTGGTACGGCTGCTTTTCCGGCTCAACATCACCATGTTCGCCATCAATCCCTTCCTTTCGCTCTTCGCCCCATGCACGCACCTCGTGGCGCGTCACATTCGGCAACAAGCGCTGCCCAGTCACGGAGCACGCGGTGCG